CCATGCTCTGTCTCTCTCTGTCTGTCAAAAATAAACATTGGAAGAAAAAAAAAAGGGCAATCTCCTGGAGGCTTTTATTTAGCAGCCCCATCTTCTTTGGATGTTAGGTTCTGGAGTTAGGCACACAGAGATCCAATCCCAGTGCTGGCACTTCCCATCTTCAGCTGGTCTCAAACTCATTAAGCCTCATTTCCCTTTTTGTAAAATGGAGTAATAACATACCTGAATTGTAGAGACTCAACTAGATAATCTAAGCACAATGTCTGCTGCATAATTAATACTTCAATCCTGGTAAGTAATAGCCTCATCATCAGATACAGATTGAAGCAGGGGATCATGGAGGAGATTTAGAGTTTTTGTGTATCTTGACCTATCACGTTGTATGTAGTATTTTGAAAAATTGTATGAATTCTTATAGTTTTATGAAGTAATTCAAGACATCATACTTAATGGAATCATAAAATGAATCACAACCACCACCTTCATTTGTTTAGCACCTGTGATGTGCCAAGCTGGTTCTGTGTCTCACGGATAGAGTAGTAACAGAACAAAGTCCCTGCCTTCAAAGAAGGGAAAGAAGGTAATAATAAACAAATAATTATGTTAGGAGGAATGCATGTAGGGACTGTACTTAACAGAATTTTAAAGCTCCCTGAATAAGGAAGCATTTGAATTGAATGGAGAAAGTGACTGCTGACAAGCAGCAGTCAGAACATCTGACAAGCAGCAGCAAGAACAAAGAAAGGCTCTGAAGTGGGAATATGCTTACTTCCTTCAGGGAAAGACAGGAAGTCAGTATGGGCAGAACAGTGAGTGAGAGGGAGAAGAGTGAGAGAAAAGTGGGAAAAGGAAAGAAGGGAGAGAAGATGGGAGGGAGGGTGGGAAGGGAAGTGAGAGAGATAGAGACAGTAACACCATATGCCAAGGGGCCAGATCACTGGGGTCTTGCAGGCCATCGTAAAGACTTCAGCTCTTACTCCCAGTGAAATGGAAAGCTACTGGAAGGCTCTGAGCACATGGTGATTTGGTGCTATGCTTTAGCATAGAACAGGTTCATTCTGGCTGTTCTGGGTAGAAAAAAAGAGGCCAGCGAGAAGGCAATGGCAATAATCCATTCAAGAGATGGTTAGCTGCTTGGATGAAGGAGGCAGCTGTGGGCGTTGTGAGAAATGCTGAATTCAGAATATATTTTGAAGATATAGCAGGTAGTAGATCTGAGAGCAGAGTTAAGGGTAACTCCACAGTTTATGACATGAGCAACTGGCCATGAGGAAGACTGCAGAAGAATAGGTTGGAGGAGACCTATTGGTTTCCTCCTTTGGCTCAGGAACTTGGCTTTGAACAATTTGACCTCCAAGGGGAGTAGTTCGGAAGACCACTGGACACGAGAGTGTGGGGTAGGACAAGTCCAAGCTAGAGATACAAATTCAGTAGTCATCAGTAAACAGACATTTTAGGTCACAGGGATGGAACCCACTGGATTCACCTAGCAGGTAAGCACAGAAAGAGAAGACGTCTAAAGGCTTAGCCCAGCACACTCCAGTGTTTAAGATCTGGGAAGGGAGGAGCAACTTGCCACTGAAGACAGAGAAGTAGGAAGAGTGGGGTCTTGGAGGCCAAGGGAAGAGTATAAGTAAGAGTGACCATGTCAAGTACTGCTGTCAGGGTGAGTCAGATGAGCATGAGACCTGATCATGGATTTGACTTTGGCAAGGTCACTGGTGACCTTGGTCAGAGCTGTCTTGGCAGAGTAATGGAGTCAAAGCCTTAACGGAGAAATTCCACCAGAGTGGAAAGAAAGCTAGAGTGGACAACTCTTTTGAAGAGTTCTGCTGCAAAGAGGAACAGAATAGAAGAATGGGGCAGTAGCAGCAGGGAGTTGTGGGGTCCGGCCAGGAAGTTTTTCCCCTTCCTTTCTCTTTTCTTTTAAAGATGGGAGCTGATTCAACATGTGAGTTGTGCTGATAAGAACTGCCCGGTAATGAAGGAAGAGGGATAATTAACCATGCAGGAGAGAAGGGACAGCTGTCGGTAGGCACAGGGGAATGTGAATCAGACAGGCTGAGGAATAGCCTTAGATAATAATGAGGCATGTTAATAACTGAAGTCCAGCCGAGTGACCAGCGCAGATGTAGGTACGATAATAGACAAGATAGGAAGAGAGACTAGACATTTCCTCCTGGTTGCTTTCTATTTTCTCCTAAGTGGAGGCTAGTGGAGGGAGGGGGGTGGGGGAGAAAGGGAGGAGGAGGCATTTGATGGTTTAGAAAAAAGGAGAAAG